AAGTGAGAGTGGAGAAAAGTACTTTAGGGGCCTCAGTAAAAAGCATTTGCCAGAAGTGCCCAGGGAAGGTCTTGACTGAGCCGACCCACTACAAAACAAATAAACACTCAAAAAGTAGTTATGGTGTCATGAGTTCAGCTGCGTGGTGACCCCACCATTGTGGAACAGACCTTGACTTCATAGGGTTTCAAAACTGTTACAAAACAGTTTTGAAAGTGGACCACATTCCTTTCTTCAGAGGGACCTCTGAATGGATTCAAGTCAGAAAATATGTGATTAGTAGCAGGGGGTTTATTTGCAAACTAGGGACTTCTTTCCCTACAAGGAGCACTCCAAACAGAGACATTGAGACTAGGGTGGAAATATGCACCAAAGGTTGGTGAGGGAGGTCACAGTTCTGGACGGTGACTCCCTCTAGGTGAATTCTGGAGTGGAAATGGCAGCTATGAGGCATGCCAGGTGTGAGAAATCAACTAGCATTTGGGTTTGGCATGAGACTCCTCAACTAAAGGCTTTTAACAGGAGCGTGAGAGGGTCGGTCAGATGCTGTTAGTGTAGACAAACCCTTGATCTCTCCTCCACTTATATTTATTTTCCTCTCGATATACCAGAGTCTTTGCTAAATATAAAAATAACAAATGACTTGTGGAGATAGTAGTAATTTAAAAGCTTTAATTTATATGCTATAAATAAGTCTATAGATAAAAACACAATGTAAACATATAAACACATTTTGTCAGATATTGAAATGAATGGTATGTTCATTTTGACTTTTTATCAGGCAAGTAGTTCAGGTTCCTTAGAAAATTTCTTCCTAAATAGAGGAAAATAGTATACATTATTTTCCTAAATCCTTCTTACCTGTGGACTGAGGAGGGGAGGTCAGATGCTTACAGACATCCTCCCTGAAGACAGTCAGTCACCAGGGAGTAGGTCCCGCTCCCTGCTGTTAAGGACAATGGACAGGCCTGCAGTCATTGATTTGGTTCCTGTAGGTGGAGTTCACACCCTACTGATAATGGTCTATCAGTTGATCTAGAGAGGAGATCAAACCCAATCTGGGATATTCAAAGTTAAACTGCCATCCTGACTCTAGGATCCTCCCATCTTGTCACATGTATACCCAGCAATCCCTAGACCACCCCCTCAAATTGCTGTATAACCTATAGTGCAACCCCTTCCTGTGACATATGTCTTTACCTGTAATTAGTGGGCTTGCACGCCCCCCAAAAAAAGGTATATAGGCCTGGGTTAGCAATAGAGATCTCTCTATTGGTCTGGGTTAGCAATAGAGATCACTCACTTGGCTCCCCCTCTCCTCTCCCAGCCTTTGTTCCCTTTCTCTTTACCCTCCTTCCCTTCCCCTCTCTCCATGTGGACCACCAAGCGGGGCTGAGATGAGCATGCTAATATGAAATGTGTCTCACTCCATTGTTTGACTCTCTCTTCTATCTCTCATGCTCTCGATGACATTAATATAATATTTATATATCTCAACCATATATTTATGGCAATTAAACCCACCATTAGTGGTGGGGGGCTGGCCCCACACCTCATACCGCAGTGGACATTATGATTCCTTGCCTTCTATTTCTTTTGAAGTGCCAATCTATGTAAATTACAAATTATTTTCTGAATTGAAATGCCTAAGCAGCAATGCCTGCCTTCAACATTACTACTTTGTAAGGTAACCAGTAAGCACATCGCATGGTGGGACAAAAACAATGAGTCAGTTGTGGCATATCTATAACTTCTATGGTAAAAGAGACCAAAACAAATAAATATTGGAGCCACTGGGGTCAAGAATTGTAAAAGCTCCATGTTCTGCAAAATTTAACTTCATTTGAAAGTCTTAGATCCCTGCTTTAATCTAATTTTCTAAGAGACAAAAACTGTTTCAGCGATGAAGCTTTCCAGAGGGAATTTTTTTTTGTAAATAGGAAAATGATGGGAAAGATAGGGCCAGGAAAGAAGGAAGAATGACAGTGCCCAAGCCATACCAGGGGTCAAAGTCCTTGTTACCTATATGCTGAATACCAGAAGACCTGAAGAATTATCCCATAGAAAAAAATTTTTTTAAGTGAACCTGGCTATTGCTTATCAATCCCAGAAGAATTCGAGTTAAAGACAACCTTAGGCAGGAAAAATTTGAAATGTACAAATTGACCCTAAAGGAGTCATAAAAAGTAATGGATTCTAGAAGTTATTGGTAAATTGGCAAAAAGCCATTGCTCAAAGCAGATATTTGAGAAGAAAAATAGCAAGTCTAATTTTGCAAAACCGAGTGCCTAGTATCTCTGAGAGCAGCAGAATATGTATCTGGGCCTTGTTAGGTCAGATTGTGCTTATAAATATCTGCAAAATATTGAAGAAATCAGAAGATTAGAGATGCCGAAAATCTCTCTCCACCCCCTCCACCTCTACTGAGATCTGGAATCTCAGTAGATGAATGTATCAGTATGTTCTGTAAGAAATCTATCCAGTTATTCTCTCATGGAAGAGTTGTAGTCCTTGAATAAGAATTTGGAATTTGATATCTTTGAATTTGCTGAAAAGAAATAGTTATAAACCAGTGACCTCGGTCTTTTCATTAGTGTTTATCTAGAGCAAATGTCCCTTGTCCATAGATGTTCTTTAAATAGCTATTCTATTTCAAAGTTGTCTTTATAAGTCAAAATATGTGGGTTCCACTAGTATGGAATTCTGGTTTTAATAAATGTTCATGTGAATGCTATTTGATATGTTCCATTAGTCCCTTGATTAAATAATGTGAAGCTATTGTTTCTTGGTAGATCCTTCATCTACGTCTATATACTTTTGAAGGCAGTATTTCCATATCTCTATCCTTTCCCTGAGGAATTATGCTCTCTTTGATTTCCACCACATCCACATGGTAGTTTGGGCATCTCCATGTTCCTTGTCACTGTTGCCTGAGTTGAAGGAACCAAAAAAAGCTGTGAGTCAGTGAGGGGACATCGTGTCTCCTGGGGGTGCCAGCCCCGCATCTTCTCAGCACATTGGCAGCTCTGCCCAGTAATGTCATCCTCAAGGCATGGTGGGCCAGGCTGCTGTCCACTCCTGCTCTCTCTCTTTCCCTCTCAGTTTGCTCCCGTGTGGTCTGGGCAGACCTGCCACTCTTCCCGGGCTGTATCTTCAGTGCTATCCTCCGTAGTACAATCTTCTGGGGAGCAGGTCACCGGAGCTAGGATTAGGGCTGGCCCTGCAGTCCTCTCCATTAGTTCGCTGCTCCATGATGGTGTGTTGCCCTCAAGGCTGAGACAAACAATTCTGAGACCATTCTTCCACCACTGATTACGACTGGGGTGGCAGGTCTGTGCAAACTTGGTGACCTTGCCAGCTCCAGCAGCCTTCTTGTCCTCTGCCTTGACACCCACAGCAGCTGTTCATCTCATGTCTCTGACAGCAAAATGACCCAGAGGAGGGTAGTCCGAGAAACTATCCACACCCTTGGCTTGCCAGGCACCGTGTCAAAAATGGCCTCAAGAATCTAGGGCCTTCTTCGAGCTTCTTGCCAGAATGGCAATCTATCTTCTCTTTGAGCTCTGCAAACTTTCAAGCAAGGTGGGCATCGTGACAATGTGGGCAGTGTGACCAACACAGGCATGTGGCCAGCACTGATGTGGCCTGGACAGCTCAGGATGATCACCTGAGCAGTGAAGACAGCTGTTTCCATTGGTGGGTCATTTTTGCTGTCACCAGCCACATTGCCACGGCAAACGTTTTTGACAGAGACATCCTTGACATTGAAGCCTACATTGTCCCTGGGTAGGGCTTCACTCAAAACCTTATGGCGCATTTCAACAGCCTTTACTTCAGTGGTAACCTTGAGGGGAGTAAAGGTGACCATCATGCCAGGTTTCAGAAGCCCAGTTTCCACGCTGCCCACAGGGACAGGGGTGAAACCACCAATTTTGTAGATGTGCTGGAGAGGCGGGCGCAGGGGCTTGTCAGTTGTGACTGGATGCAATCCAGAGTGTCAAGCAGTGGGTTTCACTAGCATTGCCATCCTTATGAGTAACCTACCATCCGTTAAACCAAGCAGATGAGCACTTGGCTCCAACATGCTTCACCTTTCCAACCAGAAATTGACACAAAATCTCCTGTGTCAGGGTTGTAGCCAATTTTCTCAAAGTAGGTGCTGACGTCCGTAATGATGTCCTCATCTCTCTTCTATCTGTAGAATGGGCCAGTAGAATCCATTTTGTTAACAGCAACAATGAGCTGTTTCCCACCCAGTGTGTAAGCCAGAGAGACATGCTCCTTTTGGGCAATAGCAGCTTCAAATTCACCCACACCACCAGCAGTGATGTGCTAACACCGTCAGCACACCTGTGATGGCCCTGTCATCATGTTGTTAATGAAGTCTCTGTGTCTGGGGGATTGATGACGGTCACGTAGTCCTTGCTAGTCACAAATTACCACAGGGAGATATCAATGGCAAGACCCTGCGCCCATGCAGCTTTCAGTTTATCCGAGATCCAGGCAGACTTGAAGGACCCCGCCCCATTCAGCAGCTCCGTCCTCCAATTTTTCTATGGTTCTTTTGGTAAGCTCACCACATTTGTAGATCAGGTGACCAGCTGTGGTGGACATGTCTGATGATGGCAATGTTGCTATGGGTCTTTTCCTTACCCATTTTAGCTGAGGTTTTTGGGGTGATTTTTATCAACACCTGCATTCTGGCTGCAAACTCATGGTGAAAAAAACTGTAGCAATACTTTCGGGCCTCTCCTTGTGTGGTTAAGCAGGCAACGGTCTAAGAGAATTAATGAGTAATCTTTAAAATTAGTATATTCAAAACTGATTGAAAGGAAATATATCCCAGATTACTTTTAAAATCTGTCTGCTCTTCTTGGTGAGTGGATAAGATTTTGAAGGAGAAGCAAGCAATGTAATGCTAACACTGCATTTGAATTTATCTGCTCCATTGGAAGCTAAGATTGAACTTTTCCAATACAATGAAAAAACTCTAGTCAATCTATTCAACGTTAAATTGAAGATATAAATTTTATCTCCGCTGACATAATGCACAACCATAAGCAATGAATATTTGTTGAATGTCATTAAATGTGCTACTCAGTTTATAGATATTCTTACTAGATGCTATTAATTTCAATGTTTGAGCCCTTTATTGTTAATGTTATTTATTTGTCCCATAGTGCATGTGTGCTACTATGAAACATTAAGTTAAAATGTGCAGATGGAATAGGTAGCCATCACCAACAATTTATATCCAGTTACCGTCTCTGGGTAGCAACTCCACCTTCATCTCCAACTCCAATATTATTGTACAGTTACAGCATAGTCACCTATGTTTGAATTAATCTGAATGATAATCTTGCTAGTGGATTTCTTCTGAAAAGAAGGAGATATTAAGTTTTCAGACTAATATTCTTAATGAGATAAAAGTGACCATTTCTTCTACTCAGATGTTATGCAATCTGCACTTTCCCAGAGGTGTGACGTGGCGAGGTGTGAAGTGACATAGCGTAGATGATAACTTGAGGCCACACCACCCAGTGCGACTCCAGGCTCAACACAGACGGCTTCACACCCGCTGAAGTCTTTTAAAATGTATTCTTTTAAATCCTTGATTGAGCATATGGGGGGGGAATATTAAATTTAAATTAATTCCCAATTCAGAATTTATAGTCAGTAAATATGCAATGGCTCTGGTAATTTCTACATGATTTAACCCAGGTGTCTAATCTGACACCTCCAAAATCAAATTGCGTTTAGTCTTATGATAGATTTCCTTTGTGACCTGTGGGCTTCACTCTGTGCCACCGAGGGCTCACAGCTGGGCTTTCTACCTTCTGAAAGCAGAAAAAATACGTGCCATCTCAAGGCAGTCGCTTGCACTCCAAGCCTTTGGGAAGCCATCAATTGTCTGTTATTGAACTCTGTCAGAGCCCTGCGGACTAACGGAAGGCCATTTAGTGAGGCGAACCATGATTAGCATTCACAATACACGAATGGCATCGGCATTAATAAGTGATATTAATGACACAGTCATTAGTAATTTATATCAACCATGAGACCTGTCCATATTGGGTAGATAAGCACAGAAAATATGGTTCTGCCTTGCCTACTATATGCATTATTTCTTTCTTTCTTTCTTTCTTTCTTTCTTTCTTTCTTTCTTTCTTTCTTTTTCTTTAAAGCCAGTCAAATTCAGCAGTGGGGTATATGCATTTCTAAATGAGAGTATTACTTAATTGTAAAATCAATACAATAAATTTCAAAAAGATTTTAATTTTTTAATGACTACTCTAAAACCGTATAACTATTAATTTCTTAATTTGCTATATTATTAGAACCTTGACTATGAAAATAGATATCATGCTAAATAAAATCAAAACAAAACCAAACTCACTGCCATAGAGTCAAATTCTGATGTATCTGCCACGCTACCCCACCCCCAAAATGCATCCGAACCAGGAGCCTCAAAATAACACCTTATTGGAAACAGCATTTTTGTAGATGTAAAACTTAAGTGAAGATGAGGTCACAGTGGGCCCTAATGTCAACATAAGTGGGATACTTATAAGAAGAGGAAAGAAAGAGATCTGCAAAGGAGAAGGTTGCATGACGAGGAAGGCAGCGATTGGAGTGGTTATCGCTAAGCCAAGGAAGTTCAAGGCTTTCCTTTAACGTATCAACAGCTCTATCAGAAGTGATCAATGGATTGGAGAAAGCCATGGAACAGCGTCTTCCCTAAAATTATAAGGGGAAACATGGCTCGGCTGAAACCCTGATTTGGGGCTTCTACTCGCCAGGACTGTGAGAGAATAAATAGCTATTGCTTTAGGCTACCAATTTAGCTTCATTTCTTATATCAAACTTAGAAAGCTAGCACAGTGTATTTGGTCTAGCTAATAAATTATGTATGCATCAGTACCCAAATTACTACTTTCACCCAACCAGAACCCTAAACTAGAACATGCGACTTGTGGTTTATGTGCATTATAACACATACACGTAATGCATGTGTATCCAAAATGTACACTGCTCTACTGCCTATTCCAACGGCAGATATTTATCCTAATGCTCCAGTGCCACAACAGATCATTGTCTGTCAGTTTGCTAGTCTGTAGCGACTTGCATGTTTCTGTGATGCTGGAAGCTATGCCAACAAGGATTTCAAATACTAGTGGTGTCACCCAATGTGAATCGATTTCAGAAGATCTTCCAGACTACGAACAGACCAGAAAGAAGGAAGCTGAGGAATTAGCCCCTGAAAACCTTATGAACACGGTCAGAACACGGTCAGACACGGTGCCAGAAGCTGAGCCCCACAGACTAACAGGCATTCACATGATGACTGGGGAAGAGCTGCCTCCTCCAACTGCAGTCCAGCTTCATGGCATGGACGGAGTGAGCCCCTCTGTGTAAGTACCACACACTAACTGATTGGGTTCATGGAGATCCTGGAACGAAGCTCTCTGCATATTCACCCACTCCTGAGGCACATTGAAGAGAGATGAAACAACTGTACACATCCATTAACAACCAGAAAGAAAATGTACAAAAGATGAATTTAGGCCATGTTTAAATCTTGAGAAATGAAATGCAATAAATAAACAATATATAGTGTGCATTAGTAAATTGAACTGGATGGTATTGGTCATTTTAAGTCAGGTAATCATATAGTTTCTATGCTGGGAATGACAACTCCAGGAGGAATAGCATCAAATTCATCATCAAAATAACATTTCAAAATCTATCTTTCAGTACAATGCTGTGTGATAGGATAATATTTACCTGACAACAGGGAAGTCCTGGAGGTGTAGTGGTTATGAATTGAGCTGTGATCTACATGCTCAGCAGTTCAAAATCACCAGCAGCTCCTGGGGAGAGAGACTGGGCTTTCTACCGACATAAACAGTTACATATACCCACATATACCCATATATACTGACATAAACAGTTACATATACCCACATATACCCACATACACTGACATAAACAGTTACAGGCTTCGATACCCACTGGGGCATGGCTGTGAGTCAGCATTGACTCTATGGCAGTGAGTTTGTACAATTAATACCACTATTATTCAAGTAATATGCATCAATAACTAAATATAGTGGTGAAGAAATTGAAGTCTATCAAGTTCTTCAGTCTGATTAAACATGCAATCAAGATGCATTAATAGTGCTCAAGATGTATTAATATTACTTAAAACTGGAATGCAAATGTTGGTACAAAGACAAAAAAAAAAATCATTAGTTGGAAAATAAGACCTTAGTCATAGAAGCAAAGCTGACAGAATGGATAGAATTCTGCTGAAACAATGACTTCTTGAATCTAAATTTTTTTTTTAGGAATATGGACTCCACCAGAGAGAATACACAGGAATACAAATTTGTATAACCCACCTGAATCTAGAGAGCATATCAATAACAGTACACATTGAACACTAATATTGGAAGACCTGATAAGTTGTGGAATGACATCAAGAGCATCGTACATACAAGAAAAAAAGTGGTCATTTAAAAAAAAGAAATGAAAGACTAAACTGGATGTCAGAAGAGACTCTGAAACTTGATCTTGAACTAGAGTAGCTAAAGGAAATGGGAAAAAATGATAAAGCAAACTGAACAGAAATATTCAAAGGGCAGTTTGAGAAGACAAAGTAGATTTTTATAATGAAATGTGCAAAGACCTAAAGTTAGCAAACCACAAAGGAAGAATACACTCAGGCGATCTTAAGCTGAGAGAAGTGACGAAAAATTTAAATCTTGAGTTGAAATATTGAAAGTTTCAATCGGCAAACATTGAGCAATTCAGGAGGCATCAAAAAAAGATGGAAGGAAGGCATAGAGTCATTGTACCACAAGGAATGAGTCAACAGTCAGCCATACGAAGAGGCAGCATCTGATCAAGAACTGGTGGTACTGAAGAGGGCGAAGCTGCACTGAAGGCCCGAGCAAGAGAAGGGAAAAAAGCTCCAG